ATTCCAATACAAACAGGAACGAAGGGAGGCGATAGCAAAGCTGGAAGTGATCAACAACGGCAAGTCCATCACTGAAGCGCTGGTGGACATCGACATCGCATGGCAGTGCATCGAGTTCTACGCTGGCATGGCTGGCACACTCGCAGGTGTGTAAAAGAACCAGGTTTTCTTCTTTTCACTTCACAAAAAGTTGTGTTTAAAGTGGCGTTTGGGGCGTTGAAGGCCAGCACATCCAGCTTCCCGGCGGAGCGTTTGCCTACACCCGGAGGGAGCCCCTGGGCGTGTGCGTGGGAATCGGTGCGTGGAACTACCCCTTCCAGGTGGCGTCGTGGAAGTCCGCCCCTGCTCTGGCATGTGGTGAGTGTCTAACGGCGGCGATTTGAGATCATCGTGTCTGCCCGGCGAGGATGTGTCCCCTTTTTAAACTTTGCGCTGCGTTTAGGTAACGCCATGGTGTTCAAGCCCTCTCCCATGACTCCTGTGACCACCGTCATTCTGGCTGAGATTTACAAGGAGGCGGGGGTCCCGGACGGGCTCTTCTGTGTGGTGCAGGGCGGGGCGGACACCGGCACCTTGCTCTGCCACCACCCGGGGGTCGCCAAAGTCTCATTCACCGGCAGTGTGCCAACGGGCAAGAAGGTGCAGAGGCCGTACCGGGGTTTAAGAGACGGCCCTTATTAAAGTTGTAAATGACGTCCGTCTTAACACAGACTCAGGCAAATTTCAATAATAATGCTATTAGACCTCAGTGCTGCATTTGATACTGTCGACCACTCAATACTTTTGGACAGGTTGGAAATCTGGGTGGGGCTCTCAGGCACAGTCTTAAGCTGGTTCAGGTCATATCTACAAGACAGGAACTATTTTGTTTCCATTGGTGACTTTGTATCAGAAACAACCGACGTAACGTGTGGAGTCCCCCAAGGTTCGATCTTGGGGCCGACTTTATTCAACATCTACATGCTCCCACTAGGACAAATCATGCAAAGAAATAAAATTGACCACCATTGCTACGCTGATGACACCCAAATCTATACAGCGCTATCACCAAACGACTATCGCCCCATAGATCTTCTGTGCCAGTGCATTGAGCAAATCAAAGACTGGATGTGTCAAAATTTCCTACAACTAAATGAAGACAAAACTGAGATCATTGTATTTGGTGCTAAAAAAGAAAGGTTTAAAGTAACCAAACACCTTCACTCTCTGTCCCTGAAAACATCAAATAAAGCCAGAAATCTGGGGGTTATTATGGATTCAGATTTACACTTGGAGAGTCACATCAAATCAGTAACAAAATCGGCCTACTACCACCTCAAAAATGTAGCACGACTTAGAGGGCTCATGTCAGCTCAAGACTTAGAAACACTTGTACATGCCTTTATAACTAGTAGGCTAGACTATTGTAATGGTCGCCTTGCAGGTCTTCCAAAAAAACCTGTCAGGCAGCTCCAGCTTGTTCAGAACGCTGCTGCTAGAGTTCTAACAAAGACCAAAAAATGTGAGCACATTACACCAATTCTTAAATCCTTACATTGGCTCCCAGTATGTCAGAGAATTAATTTCAAAATCCTACTGCTCACATATAAATCACTACATGGTTTAGGGCCAAAGTATATCACTGATATGATATGATAAGATCTTCTGACACCAATCTGTTAGTGATTCCCAAAGTAAATACAAATCATGGGAAAGCATCATTTAGTTACTACGCAACAGCTGGAATAAACTTCCTGAAGATTTAAGACTTGCCCCAACTCTGACCACGTTTAAAACAAGACTGAAAACTTTTATGTTCAGCTTCGCCTTCTGCTAAATTTTACCTACATTGCACTTTTAACCTCTGCTTTTAATTAAACAATTTAAATAATATTTTAATTTATAATTTTATTTGCTGTTTTTAATTGTCTTTTAATTCCTGCATTTTATTTCACTTTATTGTATGAAATGTTATGATGTGAAGCACTTTGAGGCTGCCTTGTGTATGAAAAGCGCTATACAAATAAAATTGCCTTGCCTTGCCTTAAGCCCGGTGGTAGAACGTGGCAATAATACCTATTAAATCACCAATGATGCAGACTGGTGATATTGATAACGTAAGATTATTTTGACCCTGGTGAAATGAATGTCAAAGACTGAATAATCCGGGAAGTAGAAACTGCTATTCACTGTATAAACACCATAACTGCAAAGTGTCGCTTTTTGGCGAAGTTCAGTTTTGAAATCAAAAAATGTCATTCAATTGTTGTCCAAAGAGTTTTTCGTGGAGGGTTGGAGGGGGCCAGTGAGACAAAGACGACGTCTTCCCTCCGATACTGGATAATTATCATTATTCCCGTACGTGTTTGGGATCTTAGTCAGATCAGTCTAGAATTTGGGTCAGAACCATCTGAAGGCCGTGGTTATAAAAGCTCGAGGGTTCATCGCGCGTCGTGGTGCCACAATGTGTAGTTTGAGAAAATCATATATGAGAGATGATTCTACATTGGCTCACTTTTTGGAGAGCGAAAAAACACAGATTGGTATTGGGAAACCATTGCTTCGTCAAGACACACCGTGAACACCCTCTAGAAGGGCTCCCTGAGGCTTCTATTGTCCCTGCTGTTGGTCGTTGATGCCCAGTGTGTCCTCCTTGCCCTCAGGTCATGGAGATGTCTGCAAAGGGGGTGAAGCATGTGACTTTGGAGCTGGGAGGGAAGTCTCCCCTCCTGATCTTCAAAGACTGTGAGCTGGAGAACGCGGTGAAGGGAGCACTGATGGCAAACTTCCTGACACAGGGGCAGGTGAGGCAGTTGTGCCATTTATCTGTTGTACAGTGTCGAGCTCGACCCGATCGGATGCATTCTCTATTTCTATGCGCAGGTTTGCTGCAATGGCACCAGGGTGTACGTGCAAAGAGAGATCATGCCCCAGTTCCTTGAAGAAGTTGTGAAAAGGACCAAGGCCATCCCTGTGGGTGACCCCCTGCTGGACGGCACCCGGATGGGTGCGCTGATCAGCAAGCCGCAGCTGGAGAAAGTGCTGGGATATGTCAGCCAGGCCAAGAAAGAGGTGTGCTTCTGATCCTCTTATCGTCAGATCAGTGGAACTGAGCCGCCGAGGCCTTTTTATCTGAGAATGCCCTTTGCCTTCATACAGACTTCACCCCTGTCAAGTGTAGTCCTACAGTTCGCATCATTATTTTCGTAATATGTCTTTGTTTCCAGGGAGCCAAAGTGCTTTGTGGAGGAGAACCTTTCGTGCCCAGCGACCCCAAATTGAAGGGGGGCTACTTCATGTCACCTTGTGTGCTTGGTAAGCGACGATACACCTTCACATAATCGCTCAGTTTCCATGTGTCCCAGCATGTTAACTCCATGTTAACCCCCCCTCTCCCCTCCGGCACAGATAACTGCAGGGACGACATGACCTGTGTGAAGGAGGAGATTTTCGGGCCGGTCATGTCGGTGCTGCCTTTCGACACGGAGGAAGAAGTGATGGCGAGAGCCAACGACTCCACGTTCGGTTTGGCCTCGGGCGTCTTCACCAGGTCAGCCGAGTGCACTAAAGGCCGTCCAGCGTTTCAACAGAGCAGTGAAAAGCAGTGTTGTAATTACCGTGTGGACAGTAGTCTGTGGGTCACGGGCGGTATTTCAACCGTGTGACCTTCTTCCGTTCCGCCCTGCAGGGACATTTCCCGAGCCCATCGCGTGGCCGAGAACCTTGAGGCGGGGACCTGCTTCATCAACAACTACAACATCAGCCCTGTGGAAGTGCCTTTTGGAGGATACAAGATGTCAGGTAGGGGTGTTTTATGATTATTAAACGTTAAAATGGTCCAAATGCCTGTTTTAATAAAATATTGCAAATACATTCATGGTGTGATGAATGTCTTGCAGCGAGTGACCTGCATTATCTTCACTGAATGAAAGGAAGTCATTCAAATCTGCTTTTGACCTGATCTCTGTTGTGCTGCACCAGGTTTTGGCAGAGAGAACGGCCAGGTGACCATCGAGTACTACTCCCAGCTGAAGACGGTTGTTGTTGAAATGGGCGACGTGGAGAGCCTCTTCTAAACTCCTCTCCCAGTTAACCCGGCCGTGTCACAACTTTGAATTAAACACTTTGTCAAAGGAATTGCTGCCTTTTATCATGTGCCTTCCGCAACACACAAGTTCATGTAGGTCTTTCAAGTGCACCCACTTTAGTGTTCACCTAGTAAATTAACACAAACAGTGATGTCAAACCAACGTCCTATTAAAACGCATTACAAATGCCTGTGTGTTCCTAAAGAGTGAGCCTTAATAAGACCTTCCGTTTGTAGTGAACTGTTGTTTTAACACTCGTGCTTAAGTGACACACTAATGGACAATTAACGCCTTTTCAACCCAAATAAAACGTTTACGAAACAAAGTCCGTGCCTGATTACTCTTTGCCTCAGAATAAAATGGGAATTATGTTTAACAATATACTTTAATATCACATTTTGAGTGAGAACTGTAAAACAAAAACTGGCTGGGAAACCAAGGCTTGTGCACACTGCAGTGCTACAGGACTCGTACGTGGTTACTGTCTCTCCGCACTGCCCCTGCAAAGCAAAACTAAAAGCCATCTGGGCTCAACTTGCTCTCTTTATCTGGGCCTTGAACCAAGGCATTGATGGTCCGATTCTCTTGAGTCAAAGTTCTCCTTGGCTTTTTTGATGCCATTCTCCAGCTCGCTGTCCAGGACCCCGAGAGGAAAAGCAGCCACTGGCATTGGATCGCAAAGAATGTGCTTCGAGTGGGACTGAATCTGTGCAGACTTAAACACATTCTTTCCCTCAGACCTGGTTAATAAAATCCAAGCTGTCACTTTGAAGAGAGTCGTTTCAAAATGTCACATCAGTGTCCTTTACAAAATTCACAGTATGAATCGTAATCCGATTGTATTTGGGCAGCTTTTACATAAGGATGCTGCACAGGAATACTACTACTACTTTGTTATGAGTTTTCCGTGTAGTAAAAATGCAATGTTTTTCAGTTGAAAACGCGTGCTTTTATTCTGACACGTTAACCGGAAGTGTTTGAGACCGCTTTAACGCAACGTTAGAGCATTTCAGTGATAGCGTGTAGCTCAACAATGCAGGTAACGCTATATTCATTACCATATCGTGTCAATTACAGTATCGACCTTTGTTAAATCACTGTTCTAAGTGGACGTTTGTATTTAGCGCTTCTGGTTTTTGACTTATTTCTAGGGCTAGAAGTAACTAGCTTGCTAACTGGTAGCGGCTAACGGTATGATAACTAGCGTCTAAGCTAACTTAGGTAAACATTACACGGAAGTCCGCCTCATGTGTCGTTGAGCTGGCATTGTTTTGATGAATGAAGACTGTTGTTCTGGTTGTTTGGTGTGTACAGTGTGGAATATCAGCTTCCGCACCACCAGCCTGGAAAACAGCCTCTTTCTTTTGGCGTAGAGACTCTTTAACTTCCTCCGTGCACAAATTGCAGCTGCATCGTCGTTGTGCAACACTGATGCACACCGGCAAACAACGTTAATAACGTTGCCACCTTGTTTGCCGTCTGCGTTAATCGTCTCTTCCATTTCCCTCAGCAACGGGAGGAGAAGCAGTTGGAGGCGGCGGTGGAGTCGCTCATCTCTCGTGTGGCACACGTCAAAAACGCGCTGCACAGTTTCATCTACAAGCTGGAAAATGAATACGAGCGATTAACGTGGTGAGTAAAGAGTTTCCCCCAAAGAAAAGCTGTGTTGTGCACATGTGTGTGCTGTCTAACCTAAAGGGAAAAGCCTGCATCAATTTAATATCAAGCACCCAGGCTTTGTATGGAAGTTACTGAAACTCCATCGTCTCTTGACGTCACACTTTTAGTGTGTCTCTGCTGTCAAGCTAAGATTTAAATATAATAGATTTTTGAATTTGGGTTCAGTGTGGACTGTATATGATGTTGAAATCTGAAATGTTTTTAGACTATTGTTGTATCCGTCTGTTTGATGGAGGGTAGTAAAACGCTCCACCACAAATACCAACACAAACGGTCCAAATTCATACTTGAATACAAATGTTGGTTGAGTTTTCTGCTGCATTAACTTGAAAAGTAAAACTTCTTTTATATGTTTGAACCAAGATGCTCTGTTTTGTCATAAAAATATATATATACAAATTTAGGAGATTGTGTTTGTGTCATTCAGGCCGTCGGTTTTGGACAACTTCGCCCTGCTATCCGGTCAGCTGAACACCATCAATAAGCTGCTGAAGAACGAGAAGACGCCATCTTTTCGCAACCAGGTTATAATACCGCTGCTTCTCTCCCCGGACCGAGATGAGGATTTAGCAGTGAGTATCAAAAGCCACGGACCCAAGTTTCCGCTTCACTGTAGTCTTTTTTTTTTTTTTTCTTTTAGCAATCTCTCTGACTTTTCCGTTCACGGCACCCTGCAGAAACTCACGGAGCTGCGCGTCCCAGTGTTCAGCCATGAGATTGTACCGGACTACTTGCGGACCAAGCCTGACCCGGAGGTGGAGGAGCAGGAGAAGCAGCTGAGTGTAGAGGCGGCGCGGATCGGCCCAGAGGTGGCGCAGGTCAGTTCTTGAGTGGATCAATGCCGTCGTACTCGTATGCAAAAATAAAAACGGTCATATGCCTTTTATTGATCACAGCTGTAGAGTATTTTTGCATCGTTCAAACGCCCCGTGGTTGTATTTTCGTTAACAGAAACAGATCCAGACGTTGAATAAACTTTGTTCCAATCTGCTGGAGAAGCTGAACAATCCTCGTGATGACAGAGATGCAGAGAGTTCAGGTATGTTGCACTTTCACCCTCCAGGTAACTCGTCTAAAATGTTTGGATACGTTTTAAACATGTTGACTTGTTTGTTTTTTCCACAGCAATACGACAGAACAAGCCGTCGTTCAACCCGGCGGACACCAACGCTTTGGTGGGAGCAGTTGCATTTGGAAAGGGGCTTTCCAAATGCAGGCCTCCCGGTCCAGTGGCCCCTGGACATCCGGGACAAGGGCCCATGATGAGTGGGGGTCCCACCTTACAGCAGGTCACCATTGGTGGTGGTTCAAACCAGCAAGCAGTTATGGGAGGACCTGGTGCTCCACAGCAGCCAGGGCAGCCAGGTAGGAGACCTGGAGAGCTCGGTTAGTATGGCACCACGACTACTCTTTTTGTTTCTATTAGTTTCTACAGGTGATAAAGGGATAATGTGGTTGTTTTGAAGTGGGCGTGTATGAGGGGATTCTGCTTAGTCAGTACATTACCGAACTGTCAGCACCTCCCCGGTTCGGAGAAGCAGACAGCAAAGCAATGTACCGCTGTGGACTGGAGGAGCAGCAAAACGTTTCTCGGCCACCTAAAAAAAAACTTCATCATCATCAGTGTGATCAAGTGTGAGTTAGATTCAGAATATTTTCTGTGGAGAACCGAACTGAAATAAAAAATGAGCTATTCTGTGCAAGTTAAAGTTGCACTTTTTCAGTTGAGTCCCTTGTTGGAAAGGCTGTTTCTCTAAAAAAGGGCGGCGTGACGACTGTCATATGTTGTAGGTAAAACACTTTACCTACTATAATTATATATAAATTATACTATTTCCACAAACAAGATCATCTAAGCAAATCATTGGATAGTAAAAGCTAAACACATTGATTTCACAGATAATGTTTTAATAAGTCATGATACTGCTGGAAACTGTATGACTTCATTGTCAGTCCCATCATCCAATAGATGGAAAGAACGAGACAGAAATTCAGCCCAAATGAGCATAAGAGGTTCAACTTTTTATTTGTATCCACAACATAGAAAACAATAAACTCATGAAGTTTGTTAAACTCTATAAAGATCTCTGAGGACATAGATGAAAAACATTGGAGCAAAAGTATTCATTTTCTCTGTATTTTCTTTCTTTCTCAGGAAAAATGCCCAGCAGCATCAAGACAAACATCAAATCTGCATCTGGTTCAATGCATCCTTATAACCGATGAGCTCCTTGTATATTATATGGCTTTTTTTGTTATGTTATGTTTATAAGCATTTTCTTTACATTTCAGAGTCTCACTGATAGCAATGACAACAATTTGTAAAACTCTCCTTTGTAACTTTATACAAACCACTTATTTTGATAGACTGGACCACCTACAAAGTGGTTACTACTCGGTTCTCTCTAAAGACTCGGACGTTCTTGTTTTGAAATGATCTCAAACATAAAATGTTAATAATCGCAGCCATCCGTTTTCTTTTTTTGTCACATGGTCTGAGCCTCGTGGTTTGAGCCACTAGATGGCAGCATGTCGTCATTCTTTGGGAACAGCAACGCTTGTATTTAGCGCTCCACCATTGACTCTTTTTTTTTTTCCAATTAAAGATCTTCTGAAAAAACACCCTGGCTGTTTAACAAACACATTTAATTCACTTCATCATTTATTATATTCATGTACTTAAGGAAAGTAACGAATCAACTCTAATTAGACATTGCCTTTTATTATGTTAAACTAGCGTTTTTTTTACAGGATCTCCTTTTTTGTTTACGATCGAGTGTTGTTTCCACAGCCCTGTTTGTCCTGTAACATCTTCCCATTCGATCATCGCTAGTGCTTCTGTGCCTTGACATGGACAAAACATCTGCCCCTCAAATGGCCATCCAGACATTCCAGACATGCACCCAATGATCTGATGTCCCTCCCGTGTCTCTGCCCGTGTCCTCCTCTCCTCTTTGCCCATTTCGCTGCGGTACCAAAGGTGAGAATAATGAGGGCGGACGTTGCTCCGTGTGGCCTGATAATGTCAGAGTGTTTAAGGGGCCAAATGAGGCAGTATCGGTGCTGACGTGTGAGGGGGGCCGCCTCTCTCGCTCCGTGTCCACTCTAATCCCCGTCCTGCTCAACGGCACAGCGGCCCTGCTGCTGTCACAGCACGCGGGCCCACCGCTGACCTACATACACCCTCTGTCCCCCAACAGGCAGACGTCTCGCTGTGTCAGCCGCCGTGGTCAGCCGCTCTGCTGAGACAGCTCGAAGCTGCACAAGGTCAGACCTGCGTCCACACATGAGTTCTGGATCATAAACAAAGAGCCAACAGGCGGCATTCCTGCAAAGCCGCGAACCCGAGAGGGGTGATCGCAGTTTTCCTTGTCGATTCTCTCGATCGCTGCAGTTCACAAAGGCCGTTTGGTTTAGATCTCTGATCACTGTCTGGGTTTTTTGTTTAACTAGCAGCCAATGGTTTCCATTCATTTCCATTTCCCTCCAAATGACTTGTTAGGTGCGCACACTGTAAGTGAGAGTAATCCAGCCTGTGTTTATCATGTTGCATTACTTTTGGTGAAAGAAAATTAAATTCAGCAATTGTAGAATTGTACAATTACCTATTGCATGCTGGGTGTAAGTATCCGCTAAATTAGTTTCACAACATATTAAAATGAACGAGCAAGTGGCCCAAACAATATATGGGAAGGATTCCACATTCCCTGCGCCCCTTCATACTCGAGTCCTCTGTCCTTCAATATGCACGTCTCTACTTTGCCAGCGATGAACGATATTTAATGCTCATCCTCTCAAAACAACCCAGGTGCACGTTTGTGCTTTAATAAGCCGAGCAGAAAGGAACTGTGGCTGCTCCTTGAGCAGGGGTCAATCTCCAAAATGGATAAGATTGTGAACGTGAACATGATGAAATGAATGATGCCACGAGTAATTCCACTCAGCGTCTTCGGGGTCGCGGGGTCGTGGTGTGGTGCCGGCTGGCTCGCTGTCACGGTTCCCAGGGACGCCGGAGCGGTCCGGTCCGATTGCCTGCTGTGGCACATTTGGCACTACGGAAGACTCACTAACAATTTCTGATTTAGAATTCAGACGTAGAGGTGAAACGTATGTAAAGGTTTGATGGATATCAATTCACTCTCGCACCAGGATCTAAATACAATCTGTAGTTGTCCAACAATTTCCCTGCCGCTGTACGCTAAATATTTGGTAAAATTGAGTCATGTATCATGTAAATTACAGTAGAATGTTATTTGGGTTTAAAAAATAAAGACATTACAATAACAGCAATACGAACCCACGATGACTACACCGATTGACTGGAGAGATGCCGTTAGCTTAAGCTAATTTACACAGTTTGTCCTTTTTTTCTGAATGGGAAACTATTTTAATGTGAGTTTGTCAAACCTCATAAATGAGACCTCTGGCTGAAGCTTAAATCATAAGGAACGTGCTCATGAGCCGGAATGCCCGAAGATATTTACGTTTAGTTTAAATTGTTCCATTTGCATTTGATTGTCCCACCAATGAAAAGGTTGACCTAGAACTCCATTGCATTAAAAGTTTGATGGATTATTTGTCAGTACTAGTTTACCTAAAAGCACGTCATCATTTTGTTTCACCGTAAGAATCAATAATTGGATTTTGAGATAAATATTTGATGAAATGTTTTCATTTTTTCACATATGTCAAATAGTTTCATGGCATGACAATAAGCCTCTATAGTGGTTCCAATTTTTTCCATTTTCAAGCCTACGTTTAGAAATATATATTTATATTAATTATCACTAATTTGTTTATTTCTTTGAACTGGGGACCTTTTTATGTTCATAAAGGTTTGTAACATTAATGTGCTTAACTTGTGCCTCACTTCGGAAAAGTTTGCTTTCATGTAAAAAAAAGAATTGTGCTGTATAATAATTCTTTCTCGAGTTTAAATGAATGAATTGAACCAACATCTACATATTATTGTGTTACATCTCAACACGTAAGTAGATGTTTTGTTTGCATAATGCCAATGACAGTCCTTGTCAATGATCAGCAAAAGCGGTTTGATTTTGATGCGTTTATCGTGCAGGAAAATATGTAGATGACGTTTAAACCCGAGGCTGTGGACACAATGACGTCCTGTGGGTGCGGGACTGACGTCTGGATACTCGAGGGTGTGTTTGTGTGTACTTGGCACCACCGTTCATCACAGACTCCGAAAACAAATTCAAAGATCGCAGCGAACGCGAACACGTTTTCTTTTCAAAGCCCCGAATGTCCGCAACGAGGGTTTGGTGTGTGAGACGCGTGTCTCTCGCCGTGAGGGGTCAGCAGCGCTCCGCCGACCGCCTCATCCGGGAACTCCCGAGTCCTCAAGGCGGCTCCTGTCTCCGCCGGCAGTCTCTGCATGAGCGGGGTGCTGCGGACGCGCTGCCCGCCGTGGAAGTGACACGACAGCTGCCTCCGAAATCACAACACGCGCCGCGTGTCGCGGGAGGAATCGGGCAGCTTTTTGTTGTTGTTGTTGTTGTTGATTTATCAGACGTAAATCCATCCTGACAACATAATCAGCATGGCTATCTGAGGCGACACAGTGTGTCGGGTGACTTCACGTCCACAAACGCAGAGGAAACATTTAAAAAGATGAGAACACGGACGCAAACTCCGATCAGCTGCCTCTGCGCGGTGGCACGTGCCACCATAACGAGCGCCACGGCCGCGCGTCACGTCTCTCTTTTGTTCGCGTTTCACTCTCGATCCATGTTTGGGAGAGATAACTTTCTTGTTTCTTTAATAAGAGCATCTCCTGGCACCGTTTTAAAGCCCCCCCCCCTCCTGTAATTGAATAACACGATAAGGTCCAGATCTCGCTCATTGTGGAAGCTTTAGGCAGATATGAAGAAGCACTTTACAGCCATAAACTCCCACGCCCCGGATGCTCCAGTTTCCTGCGGAGTCTAATTCAAATGTTGCACGGTTGAAATGACTTGAAAGGCCGCGATGACACACGCTGATCTGTGAAATCTCCTCCGAGTCTCTTCTTTTATGAAAGTCGCGATGAGAGGAATCCATTAAACATCTGTGGGTGGCGCGCAGGCCCCGCGCCGGTAAAAACAACAAAAACAAAGTCTCTGCCGAACTGAACTGATTCCAAATGAGACATCTGCAAACACGCCCGCGGCCGCGTTCACTGCTGCAGTTGTCTTAGGATCGATCAGCGGGGGGGGTTGTGTCCACGCATCGGTGCAGGACAGGATTCCCCCCAAAGCCGCTCCACTGTTTTGGCCTGAAGTTGATTTTTGATCTGTTTGCAAAATGGCATTTAGCTTTTGTGTTCCCCCATCAGCGCGTTTAAAACCAAATGAATAGACGAGGATGCTCTCCGTCATGATTTGACAAGAGTTACTCCATCAGAACCAAACAGCTTGTTGTGTGCGCGCTGAGTGGCACCCAGGGCCCGATTAGGCCACCAGAGGGGCCCCCTCGCGACACACAGCTGGAATACTCTCCAACCATGGGACGCTCTACAGATGTAGCTGTTCACATGGCGCTGAGGGCGCTGTTCTACATGCTTTTCCTTGGAGACGTCCCCTAATAATCGTGCTCTCGATGTGTAATTTAGCTGTTGTGCAAAATAGTTGCTGGTGACCGATGATCACATCAATTATAACGTTCGATTGGCTTCCCCTGATCTGTCAGCGTGGAGGTGAGCGAGTTGTGCGTGCGTGGACCTCCTGGCTCCACTTCCATGATCTCTGCTGTCTCATCTGCTCCCCTCGTGTGACCTCAGTGGTTCCCAAACCTTCTTTGTCGGGGCCCTTCAGCGATTAAAGCAGCCGCCTTTTTAAAATTCTATTTCTGAATGTAACTTTAACTGATTTAAACCCAGGCTACTATTCAACTGAATTAAAATACCAATATCTACACTTGAACCAGTTTCTACATCCATAAAACGCCTTAAAAATTCTGTTGAAATATCACTTAATGTCAACCAGACGTAAAAAAATACTTTCGAAAAAAACAGACATCAAGGCACTTTTGAATTGCAAATCGGTGATTTGTGGGAACGACTTGCTCCTCTTGCAGTGGATCAAAAATAATAACACCCGTCATCCGAGTTATGTTCATCCAAAAAAATAGATTCAAGTCAGTTCAATAGTGAGTGGCCTTTTACAAATTGTCATACAATTATTTGTTTATATAATAATCTATTTATTAATTATTATTAGTTGATTTAGGCGGTTTCTCATTTAGTGCTCATGTCCTATTTCCTCCACAATTGATAAAGCACCTCAGATGGTCGCGATTCAGTTTGTTGTTGCTGTAAAATAACGATATTGATGAGTGTAGCATTTGTCGGTGGCTCTGAATCCAGTCACACATTCAAATGGGATTTACACCTTTTGCCCACATAATGACTGAATCAGCTTCACAATGCCTTTTCTGCTTTCCTAAATGAGCACATGAATAAATCAAATGTGTCCAGCACCTCATACAGTGGCCCTTTGATGGAGACAAGAGGCTCCTCCATGTAATTACACTTGATCATGTTTGCATATGTCACTCCCACAGTCTCTGTCACGCTCCCTGAATGCGGATGCTCCTGGGAACCTCTTCCTAATCCACGAGTCGATGTTTCAACCCCTTCTTCAAATTTTGTAATTTCCCAAGGACGGATGAATCGAGGGAGCAGAATCAGACATCCCGTCTGGTTTATCTGGAGGAGAGAGATAACCGTGGATTCCGCCTCTTCCAGGGAAGGCACATTAGCCATGCCTCCGAGGGAGAGCAGGGTGTTTGGATGAGGGGGGGAGGGAAGGAGGGGAGGGGGGGGAGGGTTCTGTCTGCCAGGAGCACACAGCTTTCACTCACTTGGAAAACTGTGAAAACGTCCCCTTCACACCCTCGGCAGCTCGGCCGAGCTGCGGCGCCGTGTTAGTGTCGATGAAATGCCCGCCTGTTGGAGGTGTTGGACTGACAAGACCGCAACGTGCAAACTTGTGTCCTACAGTGACTCCTGACCCTGACCCCGTTACACGAGGCCCGGGGAGGAACCGCGCACAAGTTTGAGTCGAGATTTAGCTCTGTGGGCGAAACTTAACCAAATCAGGCAAAAAACACACATGGAAAATGACAAAAAAAACTGCAATTTATTTATGCAACAAAAGAAAGTATTTATTTGGGATACGCATCGCCAGTACAAATTAAGAGACCATAAAACCTACGCCTTTTAAGCTATTTTCTCCCCACAGAAAAAACGCATTTGGAATTGGAATTAAAAAGACAACAGTTTTCCATTTGACACCCTTTTTACATAAGCAGAGATCTTAAAAGTCAAAACCTGTCAAGAAAAAAGGCTCCACGGTTTCACTCTGAAATCCTCATAAAAAAGAAGTTAACATTCAAAACACTGCAGTACGTTATTTTATTGAAGAACAAAAAGGACATGCAACAAATAAAACATTTCATGTTTTGCAAATTGTTCGTTTTTTCTTTTCCTTTTATATTCAAAAAACTAGAAAGCATCATTACATGAAGCTTCGAATAATACTTGACAGGCAACGTGAAAAGTAAATCTAAGTTCTTCTTCTTCTTCTTCTTTGAGGGGTGCAAAAACAAGCCGATGCTTGGTTTGTTTTGCACGGCGGTGCCCCTTGTGCCCCCCTGAGTTACTCTGAGCAGGTGAGTCCGGGAGGAAAGATCCTTGTGAGTCTTGCTGGGTGCGATCATGCCGTGGTGGATTTCCAACGCAGGAGCTCCGGAACATAGGCTTTTTCCGGATTTCATACATGTGTAATAAATACAAACACGCTGACAAACTGGCTTCAGGCCGTACGATTGATCGGGGTAGAGTTTTGTTTCCCACAAGTGTCCCGTAAAACCAAAAAACAGTGCTAGCGGGCCGTGTCAGCACTTCTCACGTCGCCCCCATTCGGACAGCGGCCATCTCGGGGGGGGGGGGGGCAGGCCTGTGCGACTTTGGCCTCGGTACAAAATAATAATGAGGACGTTGCCTTAAGTCCGTCGGGCTGCGTTAAAATGTCTGCAGTCCGAAAGTCCAAAGATGAAAAATAAAAGAGACGGGTGCATATCTACATACTGTATAGAGAGCATTCTTGGGCTAATTCACATATGGTTGCTTAAAAAAAGAGACGGTCCTGTAGCTAAGACAACATTAAATGTAATCAAATCGAAATAAACAAACAAAATGAGACATAAAAATATATCCAAACATTATCTGGATTTGTGTGCCATCGTGGTGTTTGTTTCCATTATAATTTATATAAAGACTTCTGTATTCCAACTGCATTTGTTTGTCTTTGGAAACAGAGCACTAGACGTAGTGAGATGCTCGCTAGTAGCGTAGATAATAAAATCCTACAATAAGAGGAAAAAGGTTAATGAAGCTAAAACAAATGTAGGATACAAATTCTGTCCTTTTTTGGTATCAAAGTATGCAAATGATATCTCGTATACATGTTCGACCACATATTGTACATAAAACAAATGTCAAAAATGTAAATTCACATTTTGGATTGGTTTGTGTTGATGGATGTGGCGTTTTTAGAATGGACTCTTGAACACCGAAAATACGAATGCGTCAATCCTCTCTTAAATATTCTCTACTTACGGAGTTACGTGTCAAGTAACCACAAGTTTCTGTCCAGCACTGACTGCAGGTGGAGTTTTATTTGAGCCAAACACATGAGCACCTGATATTTTGATACAGAAAATAATATTTTAGATAGTGGTTTACCTTCTTAACATGTTAGAAATCCCTTCATTTGAGCAAATGTAAAAACAATTAGAACGCCCCATCATGCTCTCAACATGGTCCGACATCGATCCCGGCACCATAAAGTCTGAAATGTGATTATTTGTCTTTTGGATTTGGTTACCAGCAGTATTTGGCTACTTTGATATCGCTCTGATGATGTCTGACCTCGTACTGTATGTGCACTGGATTCCTTCCACATGTCACTGCCGTGTCTTACCAATGTCCTCTGCATTGTTTTCTCTGCGTCATTTACAAATGTTACCCTTTGAGTCCAATCAGTGGCGTTATTGTGCTTTAATGCACGTCGACGTGCCGTAATTGTCACTTCTAATGCCGTCGATTTAGTGTCTTTAAGTTTTCCTGGAGTTTTGTGGCTGCAGCCATCAAGCACGATAGAATGTCAAATATCCTCACGAAACGCGCTCCATCTGTTTAGTGCTTGAATTGTGATTTCTTTGTATTGTTGCACTGCAGATGAGCAGAAATCTGGAGATAAAATAGAAAATACCATATATACGCCATTGTCTGCTTTAGAGTACAAACTATATAAATCGAGTTATTACCTGACTAATATGACTGAACTAATATAACAATACTACTTTACAAATTATGATGCAGAAGATGAAAGGACATAAAAACGTTTTTAAAATTCACCTCCAGGGTTGAACTTTGGCTCCGCAGACAAACAGAAAAGTGTTCTGACAGCGCGCGCGGGGTACAGGAACATTCCAATAATTATTAAAAAAAATGTAAAACCAAAATAAAACCATTTTCTATGTTGTTGTTTTCGAATCGAGGTAGTGTGGAAACATTTCAATTTACAAGACGTGGGGGCGTTACGCTGATAACTGTGTGAACACATAATAATAGTAACAATAATAATAAGAGAGATACAAAGAGGCAACATGGACATCCAGAGGAAACTGTACAAAGTGTGAAGGTGGATGTGAGTCCTCCACCGGCTGCTAGCGGTGCAGCGGCCGTCCGGATAGGAAAAGTGAAACATTTGTCCTTAAATGTCATCCCGGACCCCGGCTGTGTCCCCCGCGGGAGTGCTTTCTTATACAACACACTCAACTCCCGATGGGGATGGTTCAAAAAAAGGGGGGGGGGGGGGGGCCGTGATGGAGGAAGCTAGGAAGCAGGGGGAGTGAGGGTGGAGGATCAGTTGGAGGTGTCGGAGTGAACGCTTCCGGGTCCTTCTGTGGGTGAAGTCACCGACGAGGGGGTCGGAGCGTCCTGCCAGCCCCCGTTTGCCTGAGAGGGAAAAAAAACAAAAAAAAGGAAGCATTACTCTCATATTCATTGCTCAATGCAGCCGGGTCAAAGCACAGAGAGGTACAGCGGGGGGCCCCGGGGGCCCCGGGGGCGAGGGTTAGCATGAGCGCAGCGTGGAATCCGTGCCGCCTTAAGCCAAATGGCGTCCTGCGTCGGACGAGGAGCTATCCCATCTGGAATTACAGCTCATATTTCAGAACACGACTGACGCAAAGAAATATAAAACCCTGTTCTCGGCCAAGCAGAAAGAGAGGGAATTACAGTCTGCGTCTCGGCCGCGCACTCAAATCCAAATAATGGAGGAAAAAAAAACAAAACGCCGGCCGAGGTTTTGTCTTGACATAAATTCCTGTCACTTTTGTTTGAAATAATATGAATAACAAATGTGAATTTCATGAAAAGATCCCCCGAAACAAAACAAGTGCAATCAACGTCACGTGCACTAATTGTGACGCCGACAGCTGGAATTAACACACAATAAGAGCAATGAATGGCCTTTCCCCCGCCAGAGACAGGCCTGTGAGACGGCATTAAGGATATTAATAGAGCCTCTAAAGCCAACTGGAAATGGTCGTCAACAGCCTTTCATTTGGAAAAAGGCCTGTTATTCAGGACGCCACGTGTAATCAGAACGCGGACGGGTCAGATGTCTCCATTCGCCCGTTTCGACGTTGTAATCAGGGCTGTAATCATCCACGGCATGCATTATGTATCCGCTCAGTCATTATCCAGTCACTTTGTTATATTTCAGATAAGGTAGTTCCTTTAACTCTCTGTCATCATTTGCTCCCCACTTCACTCTTGAAATCGGCCTTCAGATGTCTTGAAAGCAATTTTCCTGACACTGCATGTATCTCATTAACAAAAGCACAGAAGGAGACTTTTACTTTTCTGGTTTATTTCTTTAGTTTGAAAAAGAATAGTAGCATCTCTACCGCGTTATCCATTTGGAGTTTCTGCTCCTCTGAATTAAAGGCCTCAGTCGGACAAGGTCGAATCGACCCTTTGCTCTCACCTACGAGATCGACAACTTTCACAAAAATTAGCACCAAAATATAATAACAATAATAAAAAGACAGGTATCTGCTTTCCTAAGCCACATAAATCACAGGCAGGAAGCCGACAGATAGACCCGCTCCTCCATTATGCATCGCGGGGCTTCGTGCGCCGTGGTAGAGCAAGCAGGCGTCCAAGGAGAACCGGATGCGCGAGGTCAAAGGACTGCGGGGGAACAGGGAGCGCATACGTTAGCGGCCTCTCGGGGCGAGCGCAGCCGGCTGCGGGGGGGGGGGAGGGGGGGTGGGAGGAAGGGGTGAGGGGTGCACTCTCGGGCAGCCGGGGGAGCGCATCTGAATACGCATACATGTTTTTCTACGGAGGGTGTGGGGCGGGGGGGAACATTTCATCTGATTATCATATGGCCACTGAGGCACGACGACGGCGGCGAAGATGACCGCCCTCGTTCTCTTCGCGCGCGGCTTGTTGTCGAGGCCATTTAGTGTGGCGGACAACGTATATCTGGAAGCATGCGCTTGAAATGGCTTCCCCAGGTCACCCTTTCGCTCCTCCTGATGTTGGTTTTATCGATTTTCCCCTTTACGACACGGTCTTGTCGGTTGAGATTTTCCCCCCTGTAAGAAGCCGCAAGGAGAACCGGGCGCCCAGGGCGCCCCAAAAAAACCACCCCCCCCCCCCCTCCCCCACCTCTGCACGCTCTTACCCCCCCCCCGAACTCTGCCACAAAATGAGACAAACGCGAGGGGGGAACGAGCCCCACGGCACACAAGAGTTCTTTTCCTGCGGCGTGAGGTTTTTATTTTTAGTGGCGCTTCTGGCCCGAAGGCCGCTGATCACGGGTCAGGTGGTCAGGTGGTCGGGGTGGGGGATTTGAAGTCCAGTGCACGAGGTGTCACCTGTTTGCGCGGCGCCGCGCTGGCGGCTGACTGTACGTGGCTGCAGGTGCCTCGGCGGACCTGATCCGACCTGACAGGCTCAGGCGGCGGCTCTGCGTGTGTGCGGCCGGCCACATGTCTGCGTTGGCCGGACGGCGTGCTGCCCGTGGCGCGCGTTATGCAGAGGCAATCAACGAGGTGACCGTGGAGCAGAGACGAGTGCCGCTAAGTGGCGTTGTGAGCCCCGTGGCTTTGAAATAATTGGCAGGGAGAGAACGAGAGAAGGAAATAAGAATCCTTACGTTGATGCCCTGCGGACTGTACATCTGGTTGGCTGTGAGTGCTTCACTGTATCCGCCTGTCTGACTGATAACATGGCGAAGGGTATCCACCTGAAACATTCAGAGACAACAAACAAAGCAAGGTCAGAGTCAACAACAGGGAAGCTGGGGCGCAAAGAGAGAGGGGTGACAGGAGGACGAGACAAGACAACAAGGCTACGCTGCTGCCAGCGCATCCCTGGAGACGGCAATCGAACAAAAAAATAACTCAAGGAGAAAAAAACTTAAGCTTTCTGCTTGTTAGGATAAAAGCCATTCACCTAGTGAACACATTGTGAGAGATAAACTGTGAAGACGCTGTGTGGTGGACACAGTAAAAGCCCGTAAAGCCTTTCTTTAAACGGACATCTGACCTCGCCGTAGCCAGAAGGCCGGCGGGTTTTATGATGGCTCTGTTCAAGTTGGTTCGCTCCTCTTTGGGGACAGAGAAGCGATGTGGGAGAGCATGTGTGTTAAAAACACGTAGCGGAAATGGAAAGTGGAAGAAATCTGTGGGGCGCAACATTTGGGAGCAATAAAACAAAGATGAGTGCTTCCATGCCGGCAAGGCTTAGAATACTAAGGTTAGTAAGACACACTTAGGTAAAAAAAATCATCAAGCAACTACATCATGTCACGTAAAAACAAATTCTGCATTCACACATATAGTCGCATAGTCGCACACATAGTCGGAATGGGGAAAAACAAGAAAATTTGCTAGCGTTGCGACGAGTACACGGTGTACCAAGACGGTTACCACCATTGCAAGCCTCAAATTAACTAAATTACACTGTTACGTCAGTAACCAAATGCTAACAAAGGGCGCGTGGCGCCTTTAGAACTAGCTGAATGCACTGAATTAGGATTATGATATTACTTGAACACGACTAATTGCCATTGCTGACAAAGTCCAAACGTCTACTGGGATTTGAGGTGGGACTGCCCCTGCTTTATCTGCTGTGCAGCTAGCGGCCCTACCTGTGACTGCACGTTGGCTCCCACCTGAGCCCCCTGGTACGAGTCCCCATTGAGAGACTGCACGCTCATGAACAAGTCCCCGGAGTTTGACATGTTAAAAGAGCCGCCAGAACCTGGAAGAAGAGAGGGAGCAGTCGCATCACAGAGAGACAGAGAGCAAGCAGCGTAAGCAAGTGGGCCGGTCCAGGCAGCGGCCTGGGGGGGGCATGCAGGGGTTAGCGGGCAGCCAGACAGGCCTGGTTAGATGAGAGGAATGCAGCCGTTGTAGAGGAAACCAATGGACACAGAAGAAGAGTTACAGCGGTGGCCTGGCGCGAGGCGTGTTTGTATTTGCGTTTGCTTTGATACGGCCACACAGTAAAATGAGCAAGTCCTTTTCAGGTTAGTGACGATACGAGCTAACTTACAGCCCAAAAGCCCCTTTATTGCAGTCTAACCTAAGTTAGAAGCATCGATATGATTTCTTTTCAATGTTAAATGTGCTTATTTCAGAGGTCAGAGGATCAATATAGCGGGAAACGAGTAAAGACAGTGGCGGAGCCATGCTGAGGCAGATGGACGGCTTCCTCTATGAGATGCAGGAAAGTTCTGAATTGTGAAATTTTGAATATTTGCGCTTTGCCAATGTATTTTTCTTTTGAGGTTATCCAACAGAACTTTTTGCCATATTTTGTGAAATCATCATAAACTCGAAAACAAACGGAAAGCTTTGATGCTGTAGCTATACAAATGTAATTCATAGTGCGGTTGAGATGGATTGTATATCGGAAATATCTTTACAAAACTAAATACAAATTATGATGTATTTATGTACCGTACAGCTCTAGATATTTCCACGTTATTGTCTTGATTGTGTAGATAGCCTTTAATCTGACTCGCTCATTTATATTAGATAATAACAATTCTTCAACCAGAGATTGTGCGAAAATTACAACAAAATAATAATTCAAACGCAGTAATAATTATGTTGTACTCCTTTGTGCTTTTTTTACGGAGCTTTTCTGTTTGCGTTGTCTGTGCCGTTAGCATCTTTAGCGCTCACCACGGGTTTTGCTGTGTGGAGGCAATTCCTCAAACGCATATATGCCTTAAATGAGTTATTTAGCACCTTTATGTATCCAGTGGTCGGCTCAGGATGTGATTAGCTTAGCTAATGAATTTGTGTTGTGACTGATTGGATACAACAATAGGCACATCTCTTTTACTTCGTTCACTTTTCACTGATCTAAGCTAACGTTAGTTGTTCTATGCTATGCTAAACAAGTGTCCGCTCTGACTCCTGGCGAGACTGTCCTCAAAATACTGGACTCTGTAACAGAAGAGACCGGCAATAATCTTTCATTTTGTTTACAGTCAACAAATCTAATAAAAGAAGCAATTTAATTAAGGACTTTGACTGACAAGTAAATCACAAATAAATCTTAAGTCAGTTTTAAAAGTTATGCAAATTCCAGAAATGATGCAGTAGTTTTCTGCAAACAAAACATGACATTAAATGTCAGATTGTGTGTAATTTGATAAAAAAAACTCTCCACGTTCTTGGTAATTTAGTTGAACAGTAGGGCCCATTCGTTGTTATCACTCCTTTTTAGACAAGAATGGAGAAAAAGGTGTAGGAGGCAGAACTTTCCACTAGAGACTATTCATGTCTTTTATTTTATTTGTTGACAATAAGAAAAGAAGGAGAGAAAATCACCGGACCTATCCTTTGAATGCCAGAACAGCAGAACATGATGAAAGCAGAGTTAAATCGGCATACATGAAGAATAGGATTAATTAAGATGAAGGCAGAAGGACATTAAGCATAGGGAGACTTGGGGCTCAGGTTGGCTTATCTCTGACACAGCTTCACCCTAGAAGTGTAGTTGTACTTGTTAAGGTGACCAATATCATAATGGCGCATCACCAGGTGATAGTTACAGTCCCTAGTGCGAGAACGGCCTTTTTGTTAGTCCTAATTCGTTCATTCCTTACAAATCACCAGCAGACTGATATAATGCAATAGTTGTTTAGTTGAAGTAATGCACAGAGAGGAGGTACATGTCTAATAGCTGATCAGAGCCAGGGACTTCCTGTCTCACCTGCAGAGTTTGGAGTTGAGGGTGAATTTGCTTGGCTTCCATGTGAGGATGCATTAGCCGCATTCACGGCAGTTCTCGCAGCGTACATGTTGGCTTCTTCTTGGAACTTACCAATGTTTTTCTTGTATCTGATTCTTTTATTCCCAAACCAGTTGGAAACCTGAGCAGACAAACAAGAGAGGGTAGTTTAATGCTCACGAAATCCCAACACACAGAGAGCCTCTCCCCATTTGGGGGGCAAAGCGTGCAGAGATATCAGGGTAGTCGTCTTAGCGTAGCCTTAATGGTATGTAACACTGCAGAGTGGTGGCGGCTACATAGACTGGTGCTGCGAATCCGCATTAGAGCCAGAATGGAATGATTGCCAATAACAGTCTCATTATGTCACCATGACTGCAGCTATCATCAGAACTCACGCACGCACCAATCAGTCAACATCCGCTAACACCCATTACTGCTAATGGACTCCCAGATGACGCCAGGGGGGTAATCTCGGCGCTAATGATAAACAACATTAAAATGAAAACCAAATCAATCCTGCAAAGTTTCCAATACACAGAGTAGGTAAACATCTCCTTTATTATGGCCGAGAAACGGAAAGTCTACAAATCATTGAGCCGCCGAGCAGCTTCCACAATCAGGCCCAGATGCATCCTCAAATCATTTGATATAAATTAATGAAACCAATTGAGAAAACAATCCATTCCCAAATGATGGATTCTAAACACAAACTGCTGTTTACCTTGGCGTTGCTTCTCTTACTATCAATTCTCATGGGATTGAAACAACTTCAGCGCTAGAATGCAAAGGTGAAAAGAGAGCTAAATATCTGACTTTTTTTTACTCAGTAGCAACTTTGCAAACATCTGCAAACACGTGTCTGCAGATGTTTGCTAAGTTGCTTCCCGATTTATAGTAAACGCTCATTGCACTGCTCATGCCCCAAATGTCTGCAGTGATACTTTTCAGAGGCTAATGGGCTTGCTAATCACTTCCATACACAGCGGGGTCATTTCCACAATTGACTAACCTATTGGTCTTTTTTCAATCAATCAATGAATAGTTTTGTGAAATGTTTTGATCTGATCCTACAAATCCTACAAAACAAAATGTGTTAAAAAAGTCAATTATCGATCAATAATTTATGAAAACAAACGTATATATGTTGTGTGTCACAGAGGTAACTTTACTAACTCTTGATGTTTTATGTTTGGTGTATTGTAAGAAAATGAACTTTGACAGCAGCATCATCTCCAGCCTGCGTTACCTCAATAAATACAAAGAGCCATTGGTCAAAAATAGCTCCGTCGGGTTTGAATTACAAGACGACAAACTTATGACATATATTTGTACTTTGAGTCCTTTCTTATCTCACTGAAAGGTACCGGTGAAAGATTAGAGGAGCTGTCGGTACCCATGAAAACGTCTTCTTAGGTTAGGAAACCGTGTCTGTCTCACTCTTCAGTACTGTGGTTTTCCCTACAGGTGACGTGGTGTGGCGTGCACTGATCTGTGGCGTACCTGGGCAACTGTGATGGCGCACTTCTTTGCCAGCTCCTCTTTAGCCTCTTCGCTTGGGTAGGGGTTACTGAGGTGAGAGTAGAAATACTCGTTCAGGATCTCTGTTGCCTGCTTGTTGAAGTTTCGTCTTTTCCGTCTGCGAAAACAGCATTGTTGAGTTAAAACGGGAGTCGGGTCCAGTTCGTCGATCACAGCGGCGTGGAGTCAGAAGCGGTCCGCGAAGCTGCTTAGGACGGTTCCATCAATGATAAGAGCTGGTCGGATTCTCCTTGTGCTAACAAAAGGTGCTTCAATGCTTCCTTTTTTATATTCTTTAGCATATGGGGCACACTGGACCATTTTTTACCAGAATAATTAGGCAGTCCCATTCTAATAGCAGTTGTCTTATTAATTCTTCTTCACACCTTTCCTTGACCTCACGACAATACTTTATTTAAATAATACCACTAGGAGTCACTAAACAAGCGATAAAAGGGCCTTTTCTAACTAAAGCGTTGACTTAATAGCGGTCTAATCTTCAAATGCTGCACTCACTTTAGGCTTCCCCCAGTCATGTGTTAGATGAAAAGGATTTGCTTTGTGAAAACTACTCCAGTACTAGAAACTTATCAATGTATGTGCTCTTCAGAGACTCTTTGTCAGCACTCAATAGGACAATTGAGCCCAGAACTGCTTCACTACATCTGTTCATGAGCAACTGAGAAGAAGTGGCAGCAGCAACAAGAGCACACACACGGGGGCCGTTCTATTCTGCTCAAAATCTACTGTTACTCTAAAGTAACATTTGAAAGGATTGTGCCAATTAGTCAATCACATATATAAAGAATCAAGTAATGATGAAAACAGCTATTGGTGAGGCTGCGTATCAAACGGCAATACGTTTATACGTTTAGGCTTTATAAATATAAAGTCTGGATTCAAATGTGTTGTCAGTCAGCTCTAAATTCAACAACAAGTAACTATTTAAATTCAGAAAAGGTTTATAGAATTTTAAGTTCTTTGTGTGGTTGTTGGTTGGTACTTTTCTATTTATTAACCCTGCAGCCTTTTTTTGGCCACTTGGTGGCAGCTGTGCGATGAGGTTGTTGTGTCGAACAGGTTTGCACACAGTTGTGCATCCACACATCTGGCAGACAAATGACATCATTTGAAAAGGGAATATTAGGCAACCATGAAACCAAAACAATGCTGTAATTTGTTTCATGGTTAATGCAAACATAATAATTAGAGCCGCTTTAAAGCGAGCCTTGTTTTGACTTCAAAGGCACAGATTAACTGAGCCTGACAGCAAACACACAGATGATCCAAGTAAAATCTTTACACCCAAGCTCAAAATACAAGGCAGCACAGGAACACGGCTTTTTTCAACTCTCCATATAAACCCTGTGAAAGCCCCACCCCAACACACGCACACACACACGCACACACACCTTTTTAAGGCAGACAGATATCACATGCCGATGCCCACGAGTTGACTGACCCTCCATCTCCTGCACCTATCAGGTCATGTCTGCACGTGCCACATCTGAAGAGGGCTTTGCATAAGCTGCAGGGGAACCCTGTGAAATCTCTGTGCATGTATCCACCGGTGAGGAGATTTGTGCTAAAATCTCTGTCCCGCACTCCAAAGCCTGCTTGAGAATATGCAAATGTGCACAGCGTGAGCTCCAGCAGCCAGTAGATTAATCAGCGGCGCCGAGCATGGCGGTGCCTCTCAACCAGTGAAAGCTCTCCCCTTCCTCTCCCTTCCCCTCCGCGCCGCCACAATCATTTGCAAGAGAATAGATAGGGGGCTTTGTAAGGGAGCGCAAGCCTCATTTAAATGTTATGCCTCCGACTCAGACTTTTGAGTGACATTTATCCTCGGAGAAATGTATGCAAATCCAAAGCGCGCATCAAGAGGAACAAGCGATTACATTAAAAAAGGGAAATAGTTAGCGCTGTGGAGCACGCGGTGAACTCTTATTGGCCGGCGTCGCTGGGTATGCTGGTCCAAATGGCATCCATAGACGCAAACCAGGCCGCTGCGTGCGGGCGTGTGTGTAAGCAGCAGAACGGCAGGCGCGCCGCAATTACAGCATGTTTACAGCCCGATAGGCCTCCTACGTCGCCCGTTCGTATGGATATCAGGCCGAGCAGGGGAGGCGCGCGACGATTTGCAACCGTTTGTTAGGAAGAGCGAGGTTGTTTGCGCCTCTGACTGCGGCTTTGGCACGCAACGGCACGGGCGGCGGCGTACACGGGGAGGAGGAAAAAGCCCACCTGGCATCGAGGAAGCGGGAGCGCAGGATCATGACGGCCTCGCAGGTGCTCTGCTTGAGCTGCATCTGGATGGAGCTGAACTTGCGGTGGATGATGTTCACCATGCGCTCGATCTCCTTGGGCGAAATCGGCCGCGTGCGCGACTGCTCCCGCAGCAGGTTCATCACGTGGGTGGTGAACTCGTTACACGCCTGTGGAGAGGACACACACGCACAGGGAACGTGTCAATGGAAGTACGCCGTAAGACTTTGCATATCTTATTCACCGCTGCAGAAACACACACACAGGCAATGGCACACAGTATTTAAAAGTCGCAGATCTGGGGCGCGCTTTCTCACAGAGTAAAGGGGGAATGTAAGCGCTGATATATTTCATATTCAACAGAAGTGGAGATGGCAGTTTGTTGAGAGGAACCAATGACGGCAGTTCCCCTCTCACAGCACAGCCGCCCTGAGAGACGAATACAACGTTTTTCATTCACCCAGCGCGTGTGACACCAGGCGTGAATCTGCCACCATATTACACTGCGACTCGGCGTCTCGTAATGTCTCCTCTTCTTTATTTCCTCTCCCCCCGTCGCTCTCCCTCTCCGGGTTTAAGCCGTGTCAGGCTTTGTGTGTGTGCCTGTCTATCTGCGTGTTCATCTGTCTCACTCGCATGCATCCGAAAGCGACGCCATTGTTATAAATGCGCTGCTTATGAAGGCAAGCCTCCCCCCTCCCCCCTCCCCACTCCCCCTCCATCCTCCCCCCTCCCGACTCCCCCTCCATCCTCCGAGTCCAACAGACATTGAGGAGTATACTTGGAAAGGCACAACGTAGTGCACATGCTGGACCATCCTGGGCTGAGAAACATCACCTACTGAGAGGGGCACACTTAACATTCAAGGCAGATCTTTTTGTTTGGGATTTATTTGGCGAAGGGGGTCTAACATTACGGAACAAGTAGGCTCCGTTCGGCTGTGGAGGCCCTCGACTTCATGGAGTCTAGAATGTTCAAGTCATGTTGCTGTTGTTCTGGCGGGTGCAACGCTTCAAAAATGGCGAGATGAAGTGGTATCAGTATTATTTATCAGTATTATTCCTACTATATGTCCTCACCTGCTCGTACTTCTCCAGCTCTGTGTGGTAGATCTGTCTGATCTGGGTCAGCTTCGCCCTGTAGTCGGAGTGCTCCGTGGAGTTGTCCGCCCCGACCCCGCCCGAGGCCGCCGCCGCGGCCGCCGCCGCCGCCGAGCCGCCGCCTTTCTCCGGACCGGACACGCCCTCTGCCAGCAGCATGTTGTCCAGGCGCATGAGCTGGGGATCCGGCGGCTCCTCCTCCTGGGCGCCGCGGATGCTCAGCACTGCAGGGAGAGCAAAAGGTCCGAGGTCAGTCGGGAAAGGTCACACCTACGGGGCCGCGCCGTAACAAGCTGTCAGCCGGAGAGCGTGTGGGTACGACGTTGTTATTCACCCGGCAATATTGACCGAATGGCTCATTCAATTAGAGCTGGCAACGATTAATCAATGATTTCATCCAACCCTCCAACAATTAAAATGATTCCTCAAGCATTCCTGATGCCTTCCTCTCTTGTTCATCATTATTAGTCCAAAAAGCAAGACATTAGAAGATGTCACCTTGGACTTAATTAATGAATCGATTAATTCAAAACGTGAAATGAAAATAATCTCAAGTGGCAGCCTTAGACGCAACGTATTTAGTTATTAAGATTTACGTAAAGAATTTTTGAAATCATGGACGTCTTTCACTCACTCCTGCTTTCTCAGTGCCGCTGGATCCACAATCCACTTGTTTTCTTTGTAGCTCCCCTTTTAATTATACCCGTAATTATTACTATTATCATCACAGCATATTTGTAATGGTACTCTATCGCTGCCAGAGGGCTTGCTGTTTGTTTGTATTTTCTTAAGCATCTTTTTTCATCTTTTGAGAAGAAATTTCGTCATAAAATGAATAGATTTCAAACTGCGAAGTACACTTGTTACTTTGTGTATAATAAAGATGCATTTGATTAACACAGGGGACTTGATGAACAAAATGTTCCTCGCTCTTTTAGTAGATGGATACCGCTGCCTTCCACTAGAGGTCTCCCATGCCATTCTTGAAAAATCTCAAGTCCCACCTTCCATTTTCTGCGGTGGAAAACACTGCGAGCCCCCCGACTCTCCTCCATCTGAGAACCATCCGTTCCAATACGAAAGCCCTCCCTTTGTGTGGAGCGTCCTGATGCAAATTGATCCCGGTGTGGATATCGAAAGCGCCTCTACGGCGGCCGGTGGTAGCGCCAACGCCAGCCGTGGATCTGTGACTTCAGCCCCCCCCCCATCCACCTCCGTGTGCCGATAGCCGTTTAAAACGCTACCATTCGTCATGTGCCTTCTTGTCATCGAATGAGAAGGGACAGGCAGGGAGCCCTTCATTAATTCAGAGACAATTGGAGCGCTTGGTGCATTAACCCCAGACTGCTGTCCGGGTTGGTAGGCCTGGGCAGGGGGTCACTGGGATGAGAATGAGGCCTGCTGTAGTCCCCCCCCGCCCCCCCCATTTGCCTTTAAGTGGGCTGGAAATGCAAATATGGCAACTGTTGGCGAGCGGAAGGGGTCAGGGGTTCAGGCCACCGGCTCAGCGGGGGGTAGATTGAGTGAGGAAGGAGTGTTGGGTGGGGGCGTCCCTCGGGATGGCAGGGACTGTACAACACATCCTGTCTCATTACCCAGACTCCTTCATCACTCCCCTAATGTATGGGCGAGCTAGGAGGGGAACATCTCGGATGGCTTCACACCCGCCTCACCTCCGCACTGCAAGCTGCGCCGCGACCCGATCAAGCCCGCTCCATCAGAAACTTTAAACCCGCCTGTCCTCTCTAGTTAACGTACATCAGCAGAGGCCCCCACCCGACCCGGCTTCTGAGCGCTCACCAGTATGGAGGCAGTTTTCCTCTACAGTTACCACCTCATAAATACCAGAGCGAAGTGGGTGTTAAAATGAGAGCACACCACAATGTCCCGTGGAGTGAAGAAAAGGTGCGCGCGCTTTGTGGAAAGCGTTTTCTGTATGAAAACAACTGCTGGCAGCACAGAAGAAGGGAGCGAACGGACAAAAGGCCACAATCAGAGGCTGCATTTAGTGTTCCAGGGTGGACTGAACAGCAGTGCTGGGGTTCAGAAGACTGACATCTTGATCTCTAACCTCAGCCTGTTGTCCTCTGGACCTGCATCTTGCGTAGAAAATAGAACAAGAAAAAACTAGGCAAGGTTTCTTACCACACCCATAAAACCTCCAGGGCCGTCAAATGAAAATGGAACACAAACCCCCCCAACCCCCAGAAAACCACGGCTGCCAAGTTCCAACTTAACACTCATGAAGGGTTTATTTCATTTGGCTGGAAGCACTTTTAACATCAGTCTTCTAAGAGCGCCTGTTGCAGAAAAAGGTCATTTCTGAGGAGAAACCTCTCGGAATGCAAAGAAGAGAAAAACGCTACTGGGCCAAATTTAGTTTTTTTCTATTTTTATGGAAAGATGGAATTAAAAAAAAGGTTGTGGAACGCAATCGCCTCCATCCATCAGGGCTGGGTATTGGAAGCCGGGTATTATGCCTCAAAATAAATCGGTAAACGTGTCTTAAATTGACAATCAACACAAACTCCCCCCCCCCCCGCGATCCCCGGGCCTCGCTTGTTGACACGTGTATACCGGCTCCAATCAGCCGCGCTCCACATGCGCTACTCGCTCGCCGCACAGATCCCAGCTCCGTTCTTGCTGCTGATCCAGCTGTCTTGGAGAGCATCTGTCAGGAGGGACCCAGGAAGGAACAATGCATTACGCCATGTTGGCTGTGTACTGCCATCCCTCATTGACAGCACATTGTCGCACTTACACAGTGTCCTCTGAGCTGGGAGCAAGCTAAGTAGCTGCTGCCTATGATATCAGCCCCTCCCGACGCCTCCTATCGTACGATCGGATGGGCATCCGCTCCGAGTGGGGTTAATGTGGGAAGGATGACACGGTGTCTCGTTTTTTAATTTGGCCGTCTAATCAGTTTGATCCTTTCACCGACAACGGACGTGATGGCAACAGTCGCTTTCCCTGCGATGGAACATTTCCCCTCATGGAGAAAACAGACGTGCTGATGTCTGCAAACAAAGATGTATTCATTCCACCCCTGAACCTGGAGCACATAATTAAAACCATGGAGGGATTATCTCAAACAAATAAAATGACTAAAGAATAGGAAGGGGTAATGTGCCTCCATAAAATTGGCCTTGCTGTGGGTCATAATTACACGACTCAGTGAGGGCCACTTTATTGGCTAATAGCAGCCTAATTGATTCATCCTAATGTTTTTTTCCGAGCCTCGGGTCTGCTGGGCACTCCCTGTCCAACAGTGCTGGTGAACTTACTTAGCCACCCGCAGACAAACATCGAAGGTTCTCCCAGGGATGAACAATTGTCTGCACGTCTCCCCCCTCCCCTTCTGGTGAGCACACATTTTCTGTATGTCTCTAATGGATGCCATTTCCCTCTTGGAGGCGTTTCAAAGATGGCTTGTTGTCAGACGGAGCCGTATTCCTCCCTCCTGTTGTTGACAAGCAATTCTCCAAGGGAGGCAAACACTGGGCTTTATTGCTTCACTTTATTCTCTGCCAATAGGAACGTGCGATTCTTACATTTGGGTTTTGGTTGCTGACGGATTCACTAATAACGCACAGAATGTGGCAGGAAACCTACGATGCAGATGCATCTCTGTGACAGGGATCGGGTCACGATGGTCGGTGGGTTTACTGGTCTGTGTACCGCACAGAGACAGAAAATGACAGGAAAAGTAAGGCGGGACGGCAGGACATGATATTTATTTAACAACCCAACATCTGACCTTTTACAAATCAAATCGATGAAAAATATATAAGTAAAAAGACGGCGGCAGTTGGCTTTCTGAAGAGATGGTCTGGTGGTTGATGTGGGAATATCTGTCTCATTTCCACACTGGGGGTGGAAAGCTTTTGGTCTTTGACGATAAACCCGGAATATCATGCTCGGAGATGATTTACGTCCCCATTTGGGGGGCAGCCAGCTTGCCTGAACCCCCCTTCTTCCCTCCCGTTGCTTGTTTTTAGCGAGCACATGTGTAACACTCTTCCCATATATTAGTCATCCGAGGAGATTGGCTCATGGCTCCTACGTGAGGACGGGTGTGTAGTCAAATAGTAATTTAACTACCAGCAACAGAGATGCAGCGTTTCAGAGAAGACTCACCCATCATATCACACTTACTGAACAAAGACCATGGAATAAACCCTCTCTGACGGGGATGAACCCTGGCAAAATAAAAAGTGGGTTGGCAAACGTGGGCTAGCATCATAACTAGCCTCTGTGGAAAAATACTGTCACTGGGGGAAGGACACGGGTCTTTTACAGATTGGCACTTAATATCGCCGTGGCAAAAGTTTGTGTGAGAAATATTAAAATTGACGGCAAGTACAGGTCTAAAAATAGGCTTTTGAGTCAGTGACAATATTTTGGATGATATGAAAAGCTTGTCAGGGGATTAAGATTTCTTCCAGGACACTGCGTGCATCTTCAAAATGATTCTGTTTTTTCTTTTTTTTTCAGGGCATAACAATATCCGACTGAAAAGAGTTACAGCACACCGAGCTCTGCGGTCCAGATATCTCATCCTATCAGATTAACGGAGGCAAATGGCAGGCTGTCGAAAACCATTACCATACGTAATCCCCTTCTAGATTTCGAGGCATGTCAACAGGGACTGACATCGTGGCGATTCGGTTATGGGGGGGGGGGCTGATGTCTAATTAATGATGCGGGGCTGTTCTGTCACAGGTAGCGAGACAGACGGCCAAACCTAAAGCCCTTTGACAGGGATCGGGCACCTCGGTTGGTACCGGCTGACACCTTTTGTGAGGCCCTGCGTTCTGCACCCAGACGATGAAATGCGATCCGCAGTGTTACATCACAGTCAGCAGCACGGGGAGGGTCAGCCAAAAGGGACACGCCACGCCGGTCAGGTGGCCGCGTGTCCTGGCTTAACACTTTTAGTAGAAAGTCAAAGGGCAGGAAAAAGACCTTTGAGGGGTCCACATCACTTTTTCTGTTAGTCATCAGCCAGATTATCTTCTTAAAGCTGCTGTCAGGTTGGTGTTTCCTGTTAAATAAAACCCACTGATGCACAGAATGTGATGCTTCCTGTGTTTACTGTATCAGCCAAAGGGTTGTTAGCATTAGCAGCAACCACCACCACGCTTTAAAAACAAAAAAAACTATTTATAGATATAATTACTACTATAGGAACTACTGTTCAAACGTAAGAGCATTGTGGTGAACA